GTATTGCTCCCTGCTTCGTCTGTGCTGAAAATGAAACTTAAGTGAACAGCCATGACTTGAAAGTTGTCTTCCTCTACTCTCTGCTGGGTATATTTTACAGTTACGACTGGTTCATAGCATTTAAGGGATGAAAATTAGAAGTGTTTATATTGGTGCGTAATGGAACAATTATCGCCAATACCGATAGGTCCCCAAACGTCTATATCAGCCTAAATTACCAACTCCATCTTTATATTGTCCGTGCTCTAATTTTAAACCTGCTGTCAGACATTCCAGTGGAAACAATCTGCATTGTTGTGAAATTATTTTTTCTCTCTGCTGATTTGGTTTAGTGCAGTTGCTGAGTGCGCTTACAGAGGCGCTCGTGGGCACAAATTCCAGGCGGTCATGAATATTTTGTTCTTGTAAATCAGTTTTGTAACCTTGTAAAATAAATTTGTGCATGTGTAGATAGGAGTTTGTGTGTGTAAAAAAAGATTTGTATTTGTAAAAAAATAATTACACAAGTTACAAATCTTTTTTGCGAAGGTCTATTTACAGATACAAATCAAAAAATGATGTGTGTTTCAACTTGCAAGTACAAATTATGACCAGATTGGTCAATCACAAATTTACCAATCCAATCGGAGAGCAGATGGGTTGAGCTGTCGGGTGGGAGGTAGAGTTGCATTCAGGCCCAAATATCTGATCGGACCCGCCCCAGCTCGTAGCCATCATTTCCGAACTCCACCCAACCCGACGAATTAACAGTAATTACAGGTCCAAACCCAACACCCCCCCCCCCCACCCCCGACAGTTCTAATTAAGCTTTGACTGTTTATAATTATTAATGGTCGGTGGATGTACGGACCATGGTACAGTTAGTTTTAAGTTGGACATTCGAGCGCCGTGGCTTCAGTGGTGTCTTCCTTTCCTTTGTGTTCAGCTAACCAAAATCAGACTGCCTGCATCAGATCAAACGAGAGGAATATGCCACTGAAGCTACGGAGCTCGAATGTCCAACGTACAACATAAAACGAACTTTACCGCGGTGACGCGCGGCTGAATAAAAGGGTCAGAAGATCAGAGCTGAGGGAGTGTTTGTCCTTTCATGGCCATCAAAGAACATTAAAACCCTGTTTCTGCCTGCATTCTGATTTATTCAGATACGGATCGCTCTTACATGTCTGCTTTGGGATCTCACCTGTTTGGGTCGTCGTTCGTGCACATCCGCTGAGTGCAGCAGCTGAATGAACGTCTGTTTGGACGGTGGATTGCTGCCTGGCAGTATAGTCCCATCTGCAGCTTAACTGAACTTTATTGTACCTCTTTCAAGGCCGGTCAGTTCGCGGTGAAATGGCCGGCTGGTGTGTATGGCAAGCCATGCTGTCATATAATTTAATTATATGGCAAGCCATGTTGCCATATAATTGGATCGTGGCTGCTGCAATCAAAAGCTCGACACTGACCCGGCCCGCCATGAATTCGGGTCGGGACAGGACGGGCTTCAGCCCGGCTTAGAAACGACAGCTCTAGTGGAAGGTAACGCTAAAGCACTCACTTTTATCATACATGCTGTCGCTGACACTGTTTGTAATGTGACAACGTTGTGAGTGAACACAGATGAAAGCGGTTCATAAGTAAAGTAAAGTTCCTAACAGGGGCTCAGTCTTTGGCTGGAGATAGATAGCCTGAAATGAAAATAAAACCTCACACACAAGCACATAGTGACGCCAACATTCTGCAGGAGATGGGGGACGCATGAACCATTAAATGTTTTCTTTAACTATTGATTATGAACACAGAGATGGCGTCATGTAAAACTACTGTTAGCTTCAGTTAACAAGCTTCCTGAGTTCATGTTGGCAGTATTTAGCTAGCATTAGCATGTTTTCAACACTATCTCATTATGTTATTAGAGCTCATCCACTAATCATCATTACATTAAACCATGGCCACAAAAACACAGAACTAACACCTCAATCAAAAACCACAAAGTATTTGTAATCTTACTTTTGATCAAATGTTTGCTACAAAGACGAGTGTACTTCTGTGGCTGTCAACATTTCCTGGTTCGTCACCTCCACACTGTGTTATTCATCACTCCAGCTCATCCTTGTGCACCACATTGTTTTGCCCATCAGTGTAGGTAATGGGTCACATGGCTGAAAACTATCCATAGTAACCAAACATGATTCTCTCAAATATATATATATATCTGGACAATGATTTTGTTTTTGTTCCACTAAACCATAAAGTTCAGCTCAGTAAAGTGCCACCCCCGACAGCCAAACCCCTCTGTTCTCTGGTTTGTTACATTTGTGATTGACAGGACGCTGACCAATCAGCTGAGTGGAAGAAACATCTGGTCAAAATTCGTACTTCTAAAATTAAACTCGCACGCAGAGTTTTACACATAGTTTTTTTTTTTGTATCTGTAAACAGACTTTCACAAAAAGGATTTGTAATATTGTGTAATTATTTTGTACAAATACAAATCATTTACGCACAAATCCCTAGCTACACATGCACAGATCTCACATTTATTTTACAAGGGTGCAAAACTAATTTACAAGCACAACATATTTGGAACAGGGATTTGTGTCGATAGAAGCTCGCCGACATGTTTGGCATTCTTTCCTGCACAAACAGAATCCTCCTTGTTAACACAAACCGTTTTTCCCTTCTGGTGTCAGGTTTTTTTTTTTTTTTGCTTCCAGATTTTTATCTCATGAATTCCAGAAACATTCCTGTGGTTTTGTTTTGTAAATGTCTGTCTCTTTTTCTCTCTCACTTAACAGTTTTAAAACAAATATGTCTAATGAGTTTGGAACAAGCTCTGTATTTGGAGCGTCGTCACATCCTTGTGTTTTGCACAGATTGGTCTACAGTTATAAATGCTGTGACCGCATGCGGATAATAATCTTTAAGTTCCTTTTCCACTTTTGAATGGCTTAACATACGAGATGAACACTGTAATTTAGAGGAAATTGATTTAAGGCTTACAATAAAAAAGTTGGTGTCATTAAAAGTGAAAATATTACTGAGTTATTGCTTATTATGCCATTAAAGTAAATACATGTTTGTCATAAACATGTCAAGGAACTAAAATGCTTTTATGTTTATGTTTACGTTATAATTTATTTATATTATTATTTACAGTAGTCCCTCGTTTATCGCAGGGGATCCGTACCCTTGAAGCCCCATGATGACAAACTGCGAAGTAGGAATAGTAGTACAAGTAGTAAGTAGTAGTTTATTTTAGTATATATTTTATATATGTAGTTTTAAATCCTTCCCACACTCTTGCAATATTCTAAATAATGTTCCTAAACTCCTGTGATGGACTTGCGACCTGTCCAGGGTGTACCCCGCCCCTCGCACAGTGATTGCTGGACATGGGCACCAGCGACCCCCGTGACCCAAAATGGAATAAGCGGGTAAAGAAAATGGATGGATGGATGGTTCCTAAACTAAACGCTCTAAAAGAGCACCGCATGTCATGATGTCATGATGACTTTGCCATCTGCCAGCACTCTTGGCCACGCCCACTGCTCCGCTGCAGAGCGGAGATCAGCTGCAGGAGGAAGCTTTTTCTGCAGCTCGGGCTGCACACTGGTGCAGGAGTTTGTCGATTCCCACAAATACTTGGGTATCTTGGTCGACTCGCATCTCTCTTTTAAGCTCCACGTGGAAAACTTGTTAAAGAAACTGAAAATTAAACTGGGTTTCTTTTTCAGAAATAGATCCTGTCTAACTCTGAATGCTATGAAACACCTTGTGACTGCTACTTTCCTTCCCTCCATTGACTATGATGATATTATTTACATGAATGCCCCTACAACCCTGCAGATGTTGGATGCTGTCTATCATGGTGCGCTAAGATTCATAACTGGCTGTGATTATCATACCCACCACTGCACCCAGTATTCACTGATTAACTGGTCATCATTAACTTCACGCAGACTCTGTCACTGGTACATTTTCATCTTTAAATCACTTCTTGGTCTGCTGCCTTCATACATCTCCTGCTACATGTCTCTGTGTGAGTGCAGCTACAGCGTGCGCTCTCAGGACATTATTACCTGCAGTGTTCCCTCACTGAGGACTGAACTAGGCAAAAGGACCTTCTCCTACTCTGCTTCTGTTTCCTGAATATCTTACAAAAAGATCTGAAGCTCTGAACCTTGACCTCTCTAAGGGCTTCAAACATCTTCTAAGTACATGGCAAAAACCAATGCAGACATGTTCTTGTGTTCAGTTTTCTACATCACCTTACAACCTGTTTTATTTTGTTACATTTTCTTTTAAATACCATTTTATTTTCACTTGTTAAAAAAAATCTCAATTTGTGCACATCCTTTATGATTGTCTACTGTTGTCTTTGTTGTCCACTGTCGTCATCACTCTTTGTTAAAATCAGGTCCTTCTTGTGTGTCATGTCCAGTCTTATTTTGAAAAAACGCGATAGAGCGAAAAACGAACCGTGAAGTAGCGAGGGACTACTGTATTTTATTTATTATTATTTATTTATAAACATTTATTTTTTCAGTTTATATGCTTTCTTTTAGGATTGTCTACTGTTGTCATGTGTTTTTAATTTAAATCAGGTCTCTTGTAAATGAGTTCTCGAGGCTCAATGAGACTAACCTGTCTAAATAAAGGTTGAATGAAAAAATAATCTTAATGTAAAACAAAAGTTTTATTATAATAAAAAGCACAAGCATATGCAACACTTTAGTAGAGGTTTCTATCCTGCTTGTTTTAGTCGTTTCAGTTCAAACTGTGTGTAAAACTGTGAGTTTCATTTTATAGTTGTTTTAGTTGTGATGTTAACTTTTAATCATTTTAATTGTTCTTTATTGTATGATTGTTTTATTATGTCTACAGCACTTTGGTCCTGTGGGTGTTCAACGTGCTTTATAAATAAAGCTGGTATGGTGTGCTTCCCTGCTTGACACACCTGATTTGAGTGAATGTCTGATTAACAAGCGTTGAAGTAATTAAATCACTGAATCAGGTGTGTGGAGCAGGAAACAACTATAAAATGCAGGATAGTGTTTCCTCAAGGACTTGGGTTGTGAACCACTGGTCTTGATTCCTCCTCCTTTTTTTTTTGCAGTTTATAAGTACTTTGAAGACTGCAAAAAAAAAAAAATGGCAGTTGCACGTCTGATGCAAATCTGTGTATTGTTGTCTGCGCCGTGTTTTGCATTTAGTCTGGAAGAACACTTGGTTTTCCTTGCTAAACCAACAACAAACAATTTATGGAATATTACTCGGGTAAAAATGATAAGATGCCACCGAACGAGGCATTCTAGTAAAGTATTAATCTGTGTATATTTACAGTTGATGTAATCTTTCTGTGCATGTTTTCTGTTGCAGGCCAACAGAGGAACAGTCAAAGCCAGTGCAAACTTCAGCGCTACTGCAGATGCAGAAGTGCTGAACAAGGCCATGAAAGGACTGGGTAAGGCTGGTCTTATGTTGGTGCTGACTCCTGCACACCATTGAATGATTTCTCTTGGTGTGGTAGTGCAGTACTTACCGCTGTCCACCCACACAGACTGTAGGGGTCATAAGCATGTGACCAGAGATAAGGTGTGTGTGTGTGTGCCCATAAAGACCTGCTGATTTGACTTGAAGCTGTGTTTATATGGGTAAACGGTCTAAATGGCTTGTTTTGTAATTTGAGAAGTGGGTAAATTAAATGCAGCTTGGCTGAGTAATCCTGTTTGTGGTCTTTAGGGACTGATGAGGGTGCCATCCTGCAGCTGGTGACTGCTCGCAGCAATGCCCAGAGACAGGAGATCAAGACCGCCTACAAGACTCAGTTTGGAAAGGTCAGACTGCAACAGAACTCTACTCTCTCTGTTCTTTAAGCTTTTAGATGGCTTAAAACGGGTCAAACTGTAAATTAAGTTTTATTTGATTTTTATCTTGATTTCAAGGTGTGGTCCTAAAAATAAATGCTGAACAAGAATCCAAGCATCAGCAACAGATTACATCAGAACTAGAAAAGGCTCTTAACATGGTCAAATGATGCAACTCTGTAGCTAAAACACTGACGCAGGCCCAGTGTATAGGACATCTGGTGATCTAAACACTGCATAGATAAAATCTCCCTCTTGAGATGGTATTTTACTGTTGTAGACAAGCTGGCAGCTCAGAATTGGGAATAGGTGAATGTTTCCATGATTCCTTATCTAA